CAGTTTGAAGATTTTTGTTTTCTTACGTTGAGGTGTAATGCATACTGCAGACTGTAGTCTTTAATCATCAGTAAGTGCTTCAAGTCATTCTCACTTTCAGCAAGCAAAGTTGTGTCATCTGTGTATCACAGGTTGCTAATGAGTCTTTCTCCAATTCTGATGCCACGTTCTTCTTCATATAGTAAAGTTTCTCAGATTATTTGCTCATCAGACAGATTGAATAAGTATGGTGAAAGGATACAACCATGACACACTCCCTTTCTGATTTTAAACCATGCAATATCCTCTTGTTCTGTTTGAATGACACAGCCTTCTAATCTACGTACAGGTTCCTCATGAACACAATTAAATGTACTGGAATTCCCATTCTTCTCAATGTTATCCATAATTTGTTATGATCCACACAACTGAATAGTTTTGCATAGTCAATAAATTAACACAAGTAAACATCTTTCTGGTATTTTTTGCTTTCAGCCAAGATCCATCAGCAGTGATATCCCTTGTTCCGCATCCTCTTCTGAATCCAGCTTGTACTTCTGGATGTTCTCTGTCAATATACTGCTGCAACAGTTTTTTAATTATCTTCAGCAAGATTTTACTTGTGTGTGATATTAATTATATTGTTCTATAATTTCCACATTCTGTGGAATCACCTTTCTTTGGAATGGGTACAAATATGGCTCTCTTCCAGTCAGTTGGGCAGGGAGCTGTTTTCCATATTTCTTGGCCTAGATGAGTAAGTGTGGCATCCTTTTGTTGAAACATCTCAATGGGTTTCCATCAATTCCTGGAGCCTTGTTTTTTGCCAATTCCTTCAGTGCAGCTTCGATTTCTTCCTTCAATACCATCAGTTCTTGATCATATGCTACCTCCTGAAATGGATGAACACTGACTAATTCTTTTTAATACAGTGACTCTGTGTATTCTTTCTATCTTCTTTTGATGTTTCCTGCATCATTCAGTATTTTGCCCATAGAATCTTTCAATATTGCAACTTGGGGCTTGAATTTTTCTTCAGTTCTTTCAGCTTTAGAAATGCCAAGCATGTTCTTCGCCTTTAGTTTTCTAACTCCAGATCTTTGCATATTTCATTATAATAATTGAATTTGTCTTCTTGAGCTGCTCCTTGAAATCTTCTGTTCAGCTCTTTTATCTTGTCATTTCTTCCATTTGCTTTAGCTACTCTGCATTCAAGAGCAAGTTTCAGAGTTCCTTCTGACATCCAAATCATCATTAAGCACATGAAAAGATGCACCACTTCATTAGCCATTCCAAAAACAAATCAAACCTGTTACCATTGAGTCAATTCTGATTCATGGCAGCCCCATGTGTTACAGAGTAGAACTACGTCATAGAGTTTTCTTGGCTGTAATCTTAATGGATGCAGAATCACTAGGTATTTCTTCCTTGGTACTGTTGGATGAGTTCAAACTGCCAACCTTTAGATTAGCAGTTGAGAACAAATATTTGCACTACCTAGGGTCCTCATTAAGGAGCTCTGGTGGTTTAGTGGTTAAGGCATTTGGCTGCTAACCAAAAAGTTGGTGGTTCGTGCCCACCAGCTGCTCCATGGAAGAAAAATGAGGCAGCCTGCTTCTGTACAGATTTATAGCCTTGGAAACCGATGGGAGTTGCAATGAGTCAGAATCGACTTGATGGCAGTGAGTGAGTTTTTGAGTGAGGGTTCCCATTAGTCGTTGTTGTGAGGTACCGTTGAGTCTATTTTGACTCTTGCAGATGCCCTGTGACAGAGTAGAACTGCCCCATAGGATTTTCTTCTCTGTAATCTGTATGAGAGCAATCGCCAGATCTTTCTGCAGTAGGGTCATGCTGTGTCAAAAACAACTCAGGGCCACCTCACAATAGTCATAATAAAGGAAATGCAAATCAAAACCACAATGAAATAAATACCACTTAACAGTTGGGCCATCTACTTCTGTAGTGATACTGCCTCGGAAACCCACGGAGGGGTCGCTATGAGTCGGATCAAACTTGATGGCACATAACAACAACAACAACAATACCCACTAGGATGACTAGAATAAAAAAGGCATAATAACAAATATTGATAGAGAAATTAGAGCTCTGGTGGGAATGTAAAATGGTGCAGTCAATATGGAAAACAGTTTGAAAGTTCCTCAATAAGTTAAGCAGCATATGACCCAGCAATTCCAGATATATATCTAAGAGAATGAAAACATACATAAATAGCAACATTATTCATGATTTCCAAATGTTCATAAATGGATGGGTAAACAAATGTGATACAGCCATAAAATGGGTAATTATTCAGCAATAAAAGAAACCAAGTACTAATATATGTTATGACAAGGCTGAGCCTCAAAAAATGATCCTGTGAAAAAAGCCAGACACAAAGGACCACATACTCTATGATTCCATTTATATGAAATGTCCAAAATAGGCAAATCTATAGACACAGGAAGTAGATCAGAAGTTGCTGGGGTGGAGAGAATGGAGACTCACTACTAATGGTTACAAAGTTTCTTTCTTTTTTAAGAATTTTTATTGTGATTTGGGTGAAAGTTTATAGAGCAAATTCACTTTCCATACACAGGGTCTCTTTTTATGATGATGAAAATGTTCTAAAAATTTGTGGTGTTGGTTGCATAACTGTATGAACACACTAAAAATCATTGTTGCATGTGTTAAAAGGCTGACTTGTGTGGTATGTGAAAAATATCCTTATCTCATTAGCTATCTTAGAAATCAGCTTTTATCTGTTTGTATGACGTATCTTCAAAATTAACCTCAAAAGAAAGGAACTTGTGGGGAGAGGGGAGAAGTTCCCCAAACCAGTTATCATTTCAAAGATTGTCTTATTTGTCCTCTTTTCTTCATCTTGGTCCTGGCTTTAAGAAAAAGAAAATAAATAAATAAATAAATAAATAATCTGCCCTGCACAGTCAGGGTCAGATCACTCTGACTGATTGCCCCACAGACAGAGATTCTGAGTGGCTTCTTTGTTCTGTAACTTATCATATAAAAAATGGACCTATTTTTTAGAGTCTCCAAACTGCAGAATACAGATGCCAGGGGGTCAGCAAATAAGCTTGAGAAGTCACTTTATCTGCATACCACCAGAGTGATAAGAGGGGTTGTCCATGCGGCTCTTGTTACTTGGAGATTTTGTTGCTAATAGATGGACAGAGGCAACTAAAAGGCTGTGAAGGAGTAGTGTCATGTCTGGATCTAGAAGGGCCTCTGTGTCAGGAGTCTGCAGACAAGTGATTCCTGACAAAGAGCTTTGTCCCTCTAAGCCTCTGACTCCTCATCACTAGAACAGGGAAAACATTGCCCTTCTCATCACAAGATTATTACTCAACCATGCCTACAAGCCTGCTTTATAAACACTGAAAATAGGTAATAATAGAAGCTGTCCTGGACTCTCAGACTAGTTGCAGCTCCAGAGGATTGAGCTAATAACTGGTCAAGGTTTGAGAAGTAAAAGAGACTTATCTGGCTGGGGAAGAAGGGTGTGGACTCGGCAGAGGAATGTTGTCTGGAAAGAAGGGGAGTAAAAGAAGACTGCAGTAATTGACCGTTGTTGTCAGAGGCACTAACTAGCAGTCCTCCTTCATTGGTGCAAAAGGCCACCAGATGTACTGGTTGCCAGAGCAGGGTCATTTAAGTTGGACAAGAGGGAAACATGCTGGTACAACATCGAGATGTGGCAATGAACATCAGAGTTGGGCAAAGAACCCTCTCCTGTAAGCATTCCCTTGGATCACCCTTTATATGTTCCAGATTCTTGAGCCTCTTTCACAGAAGCTTATATTCGCACAACACTCCTCAGGAATTAAAAAATAATCATCATCATCATTTTGTGTAGCGTAGGATCAAGAGTGATTTTACATTTTTATAAATGTGTTTTAGATTGATACATTTCTGAAGAATGTTACTATGGGTTCATTTTGATCTAATGAATGTAACTTTCAAATCTGGTGACAAAATATTTGCAGATGTTTTCAGTCATTTTTGTGTCATTAAATTGTTCTTTATACGCCCCCTCTTCAGTCAGTGGTCTATTTGGTATAAGTTAAGGGTAAAAAACAATTTAGACATATGGAAAGATGAAAACACTATGGCATCTAATGAGCACACTTATCTGCTGAACTCACAGCCACCCATTCTCCCTTGATGGACACTCAGAGTCCTCACATAATTCTACTTAAAAAGGGAAAATATTGGTTATAGTTCACTGATTTTAAGGTTTGCATTTTTCACATTATCCTCTCTGAAATTATATGTCTTATGATCAGTGGCATTTAACATTAATTCTTTCTTGTAAGATGGTGTAGTTTACAATCAATGGTATCAAGTTTGATGAAATACAGTAAATTGTATTAGACATTGAATTAAGAAAGATATATTCTCCTCATTCTTTCCTTTCTGCCCTTTGATGTTACATGTTGATAGTTTCATGTTGCATCTAGGAACTTCAGCATCATCTTCCTCCAGATAGAGCCAATGAAACATCTTTTTATTTTTGCAGGTTTTCATTAATAGATCACAAGCAGATCTTCTATTCTCAGATCTTTAGCTACAAAAGGTGTGGTGGAACTTCTCTCCATTCCCTATCCCTCCCATTCCTCCAGCCACCAGAGTTCTACCAGTAGATATTCAGTTTCTGTGACTCTCACTGGAACATTTTCTGGAATCGTACAGACGTCACCTAACTCTTCCCAAAATCACCCCCTGTCACTGCTCTGTCTACTAGTGTCTCTGGGAAGAAAAGGAAGAGGAAGCATCCCTGAGTCTATTTTTAACCAATTATGTCCTTGCCCTTCCTGGAGAGGAGCCACAGACTCAATGACCTATAAGGGCCATTTCAGTACTTCCATTTTGCCTGAGTTCGGGCCTTCACCTTAGGTAGGACCTTTTCCTCTCATTCACCTCAGAGTGCTCTGATTCTTTATAGCTGAAGGTCCCTTTTGTCCGAGATGGACTGTATTACCTAGTAGGATGCATTTTGTAACAACATGAGTGACGTCAAGAGTAACCGAGAACTATATCAGCAGTATTCAGCCATAGCCCCCAAACTGCTGGCCCGTGTCTCCAAACTCCTTATGATCTGCCGGAACTCAGGCATCCATGTACCCAAGGGCATCAGGAACATCTTCGAGTTCACTTGGGAGGAGCTCATCACTGACCCCATGGTGCCTACCGCATCAGACATCTTAGGCCTGGAGATCAGTTTGGGGCCACCACCTGTGCTTATGGAATTGGCCCCTGTGCAGGTCCCCACCCAGAAGAAGCCACCACCACCACCAGTACCACCACCACCACAGCTACTGCCAACATCGACTGGTCCAACCAAGTTCACCACCACCTCGCCTACCCAGACACGCACAGTGACCACTGGTCAGGAGACCCTGCACAAGTTTCAGCGGCAGTCCATCCACTTGCTGACAGAACTCCTCACTCTGAAAATGAAGGCCATGGTGGAGTCTGCATCAGGTAAGTCTCACTCACCAGACTCTGGAAGGTTGTGGTCCAGATGTGTATATGTGTGTCCACTATATCCACCCCAGACAGGTATATTAGGATAAACTGGAAATAGATGGCAGCCATGGATCTGCTTTAGGAATTCATTCTTTCCCAATACCACTCCTAAGCATCATCCTCTCACCTGTCTCTGTTTCCCATTTTCCCTTCCATTCCTCCAACTTTGGAGAGCCAAGATTGGAAGGTCAGCAGTTGCCTTAGTTTCCGGGGGCTGCTGTAACTAAATACTACAAGGCGGGTGACTTTAAATAACAGAAATTTATTGTCTCACAGTTCTGAAGACTAGAAGTTGGGATGCAGGACATTGACAAGACCATGCACTCTCTGTCAACTCTGCCTCTTTTACCTTCTGGTAGCCCCATGCATTTCTTGGCTTTCCTTGGTTTGTAGATGCAACTTTATGTAGCATCTTCTGCATGAACTCTGTCTCCTTTTTATAAAGGAAAAAACTACTCAGAAGAGATTAGGACCTCCCTTACTCTGGTATGACCTCATTAACTTAAGTGATAACATCTTCAAAAAAAAGACCCTATATCCAAACAGAGTCATGTTCACAGATACAGGGGTTAGGAATTCAACATATCTGTTTGAGGGGCACAAGTCAATCCATAACACAAGGAAGAACAGAATGAGGTCAGAGATACTGAAGGGGAAAGTTGGGGGGTAATTATTCAGACAGAGGAGGAGAGAGACAGCACCCAGGAGGCAAAATGTGGAGCTGTGAATCAAGAGGTAGCAAAACAAAAGCTCAGCCAATCCAGAACCAAGATAGTAATGAGCACTAGGGTCCAAGGTCAGGGTGTCATCTCAGGATCAAGTCAGGGACCTAGAGCAGCATCAGTAACTAAGCGTTCTCAGTCTGCATTCTTTTAGATACCTAAAGGCCTATGGGTAGGAATGCAGAAAAGTAAGGGAAGCAGAAACCAAAGGACTTCTGACAGATCTTGAGTTTGAGAAACTTTCATTAGGAACCCCCTAGAACTTGCTTGCTATAGGAATAGATCATCCCTCTACCCCGTATCCTGGACCCTTTACAGAGGTCCTTTTCTACAAGAACCAGGCCCATTCAAGGGCAAAAATATGTTACTTTTGATGATTGCTTTAGTAGGTGCCAACCCCCTGGACATCACAAGGCGCTTCGTGGAGGCCAGCCACCTTCTCCATCTCAATGCAAAGGAGATGGCTTTTGACTACTTGATCGGCACAATCGGGAGAAGTGGTTGTAGTAGTGGACAGCTGGGGAAAGGTGGGTACCTGATTGTCAACCATTAGATAAAAAATTCAAACAGTACCAATAAGAATGCAGTGAAAGATGAACACCCTGTATGAACATTTAAAATTCATTTCCAAGAGTTGAAGTGGATGTGGAGCAATAGAGACTCTCAAACACTGCTGGGAAGTATATGCATTGGTACAGTTACTATGGAGCAAAATTTGGTGGTATCTGTTAGATGGAAGATGTTTATACTCACCCAGCAGTTTCTGTCCTCGGTCACTTCCTAGAGTTGTGTTTCTCAAACTATCTGTGGTGAAGGACTATTTTTAAAAATCCCAATCTGGTATGGACTTATCCATTTTAAAGTACAATATCATGTTGTGTTGTTGTTATGTGCCATCGAGTCAGCCCCGATTCACAGCAATTCCTCCTTGGGTTTCCGAGGCAGTATCACTATGGAAGTAGATTGCCCTGTCTTCCTTCCGAGGAGTGGCTGGTGGGTTTGAACCACCAGCCTTCTGGTTAGCAGTCAAGTGCCTTAGGCACTACGCTACCAGAGCTCCTCAATAATACCATAGCAGTGTCAAATTGCTACTAATGTTCCTAAATGCTTACTTTCAGTTTTAGTGCTTAGATTGTCATGGGCTATTGTGGACTGAGACCAGACCCCGGAGCACAGAGTAGCATCACCCTAGAGCAACTCACACATGTGCACAATAAGTGGCATGAGTGTTGTTCTGGTTACCTAGTACTGCTCTGACAAGAAAATATACCACAAATGGGATGGCCTTAACAAACAGGAGTTTATTCCTACAATTTGGAGGCTTTAAGTCCAAGTTCAAAGTGCTAGGCTCTAGGGGTTGGGTGAAAGCCCCTCAACCTCGGGGTACACTCTGCCTCCTGCTCCTGGCCCACTGGAGCTTGAGGCATTTCTTCACTCAAACAGCTGTTGGCTGCTGAGGCTGGAAGCCCCAAGGTTGACAAGTAAAAAGGCACAGTCCTGATGTTATTAGACCACACAGCAGGCCATTAGCTTAAGTCCATTTTAAGTCCCAAGATCGGCAGAGCATGGCAGGCTGCTGAGCAACAACACAGCTACATGCAGGGTCCAAGTGTGCCATAGGCTGGAGACCATTCCCAAGGCTTCTCCTTATATACAGGAAACAGACCACATTCCCTAAGGCAGCTACTCAACTGCTCCCGGTAGATTCCACCATGGAGCTGATTACCAGTCTCATCATGGGGAATACTACATCCAGCTGCCCAACCACTCAACCAGGCCTAGCCAAGTTGACATACAAACATAACCATCACAAGTGTTTATTGCAGAATTACTTGAGAGGGCAAAAAAATTGGAAACTATTTAAATGTCCATCAGTAGGAGAATGTCCAACAACAGAATAAGTAAATTATAGTCTATTTAGACAATGGAACATCTGAGCAGTGAAAATGAATGAAGCACTACAGCACACATGTCAATACAGATAAATCTCAAAATTACAGTGTTAAGCAATAAAAGCAAGCTGTAGAACATTTGGTATGACATCATTTAAATCAGACTTAAAACATTTAATATATTGTGTGTATATTATACAAAGTACAAGTATTAAGGCATGAGGGAGAATGTCATGGAAAATTTAAGGAGTGTTCTCTGGGAAGAGGGGAAGGGAGTGGGATGTGGAAGCAGTACACAGTGGTTCAGTTGAATATGTAATGTTTTATATCTTAAGCTTGATGGTTACACAAATATTCATTTTGATTGCCTAGAAATACCCACTATTGAAGGTTTTATAGAGAACAATAAAAAAATTGTATCTCATAGCCATTCACTCTCACCTATAAAACCATTACCTATTTGACATTTAGGTATATGAAAAAGGGCATGGTGTCCTCATTGTCTGACTTCTGATTTCACAAAAGGGAGAGAAAATCACCATCAACAGCCCAAAGCTTCTTCCTAGGAGGTGGAGGTCAGACATGCTGCTGTTCTTCGAGCTTTTTACCTGTTATGACACCAATTATCCCTCCCATGGCACTCATTACTTTTTCTGCTGGCAGAAAATTTGTGGCAGTGACCACACAGAATTCACAAATACTCAGGAGTATGGGCTTTATTAGGGAAGTATCAGGGTACAATTCAAGATCAGAAACAACTCATGATACAGTTTTTTAATCAGGACAACTTCTTAACTATGGTGCAGGCACGTTTCTCTCTGGCCTTGACCTCTGCCCTGCTTGGGCCAGTGTTTCCAAGCTCTTTTAGCTTTGCAGATAGGTGCCAGTACAGGCACCTGACTCTACCAGCACTCCACCCACAGGCACTCAGCTTTCTTGCTCTGTGGACCAGGAAGCCTGCTACTCTGTCTCATACTGATCTCTTGGCTCTGGTGCCTCTATTGCTTCTCACTGTCTCTCTACCATCTCTCATTGTCTCAGCAAAGTGTTAACAGCTTTCTGTCTCTTGGGTCAGGGAGATTTAGCATAGAAATCTCAGGTCCAGGAGACAGAGAGAGAGAGCTGTAACACTTTGCTGAGATGCAGAGAGATGACAGAGAGACAGCAGAGGGACGACCAGAAGCAGCAGAGCCAAGAGACTGGCAGGAGACAGAGCAGTGGGCTTCCTGGCTCACATAGCAAGAAAGCTGAATGCCTTCAGGCAGAGTGGATGGAGTGCTGGCGGAGTGAGGTGCCTCTCTGAGCACCTATCAGCAGAGCTAAAAGACTTGCCTGGGCAGGACAGAGGCCAAGGCCAGAGAGAAGCATGCTAGTGGCACAGCTGAGAACAACTTTATCCTGAGTTGTTTCTGATCCTGACTTGTAAATCCACTACTTCCTTAGTAAACCCCATAATCACGAGTATTGTCTGTGAGTTCAGTGTGGCCATTGCAATGAATTATTGAACCCAGCAGAGAAGTAGAGAATGCTGTGCAGGGACGGTTGAGGTTAGAATTCACTAAAGGGTTAGAGGGTGGTGGCATGTCTGACTTCCACCTCATAGGAACCAGCTTTGGGCTGCTGATGTTCATCTTGAGTCTCTCTTCCCCTTGTGAAGTTAGAGGGGGTCAGATGCTGCCCCCATGCCCTTTTACAGCATGTCTAGCCATGTCAGTTGAGTCAATATCTTTCTCAGACTCTCGCTGATGGTTAGGAGTTAAACATCTAATACAATATACACATACAGAGAAAATAAATTGCATAGTGAATTTCCCCAAAATTACAAATCTTGGGGAAAATATAGGATTTCATGAAGTCAATGAAAGTGATGTTGGAGAGCTGCTTGATTCACATGCAAAGCCATTGATAAGTGATATAGCAGAGCAAAGCTAGTTGAGTACTTAAAAAGGAAAAGTCATCTAGGTTAATGACTCCATGAAGATAGAAGAATGTTTTGTGTATCAAAGGGTTAAAACTAAACATTGATAAAGTCCTTGAATATTTTTGCAAAAGACAAGTATAAAGGAACTTAACATTTTATTGTGCTATCATAAACCATTCAGAAAAAAATCACACCCCCTCAAAAAAAAATCAGCATTTTTATTTCTTATGAGAATTAGCATATACTTACAATATAAACAAAGTTTCTTTAAATTGAAGATAAAATAAGCTTCTTGTTGTTGTTGTGTGCCATCGAGTCTGACCCGACTCATAGTAATCCCTCTTTGGGTTTCCAAGGCAGTATCACTACGGAAGTAGATTGCCCCATCTTCCTTCCAAGCTTATTTTTTTAAATTTTTAGTTTATTTTTCTAAGCTAAAATTCCAATAAAACCTTTCACCAACTATTTACCTGGAAATTGAGGTCTCTTCTCTAGGACAATTTACTCTAAGCAAAATTTATGCTTCTTGTTGTTGTTGTTGTTGTTGTTATGTGCCGTCGAGTTGGCCCCGACTCATAGCGACCCCTCCTTGGATTTCCGGGGAAGTATCACTACGGAAGTAGGATTGCCCAACCTTCCTTCTGAGGAGTGGCTGGTGGGTTTGAACTGCCAGCCTTCTGGTTTATTCAAATGGTTATCAGTGTACATGGAATCCTGAATCTTGCTTTCTACTTTAAGGCATAGAGATCTACCTCATTTTGGGGTGGCAGCTGATTGATAGCCTATTGTATGAATATGAAAGTAGGACAAGAGATGTAATAGTAGGCTTGGTCCAGCCACCTGACCCTTGGATTTGTACCTCGTCTTTTCCTACCTAAATATTGTTCTGTTACCTTCAAGAGGAAAATGGTTGCACTTCGCCTGAGCTCTTGTTGAGCCCCTTGCATGTAATGCAGACAGCTAAGGTGCTCAACTGCTCACTGAAAAGTTGGAAGTTCAAGTCCACCCAGAGATGCCACAGAAGAAAGGCTTGCTAGTAGATGCTACCAAAAAGCAGCCATTGAAAACCCTATGGAGTACAGGTCTACTCTGACACACGTGGGATTGCTATGAGTACAAATTTATCTGATGGCAATGGATATTTTTTTTAAATAATATTTTATTGTGTTTCTGGTGAAAGTTTACACACCAAATAAGATCACTTGATAATTTCTATATAAGTTGTTCAGTGACGTTAGTTACATTTTTCACAATGTCAATATTCTTTTTGTTTGTGTTCTGGTTGTTCCATTGCCATTGTTCCAGTTTCCCTGTCCCCTTATCTTCTCATCTTTGCTTTAGGGTAATTGTTGACCTATTGGTCTCATATAGTTTTTTTTTTTTTCCCCAGTGGAGCACTGTACTCCTTTATTTTATGTGCCAATCTATCATTTAGCTAAAAGGTGCCCTCAGAGGTTAGTTACAGTTAAAGGTTTAAAGAGTGTCTGAGGCAATAGTCTCAGGGACTCCTCTGGTCTCAACTGATTCAGTAATTCTGGACTTTTTAGGAATCTGTGTTCAGTTCCATATTTTCTTCCTGTTCAATTAGTGTGCATCCAATTTGACCCTGATCAGAATAGTTGGTAGTGGTAGACAGGTACCGTCTAGTTCTTCTGGTCTCAGAGTGGATGAGGCTGTGGCTCACGTACGCTATTAGCCCTGTGCACTAGTTTCT